AGATAAAATGTAGAAATTAAATATATAATAGTATTCAAGCTGAGTTATAAATAGTATTCACAAACTTCAGTCTATATAGTTGTGTGTAGTCAAGGGCCGCTAACCCTATTGATTACGTGAGAGATAGAAATAGAGGTAAAGAATTCGTGAGAAGCGGGATTTCTTACACTATATTATATGAAAAAAGACTTGAAAAAGCTGAGAACAGTAGCAGGTGAGTATTATTAAATTCATTTAGAGAGATATTATAAAAGAATAACATTGTCAGATATTACTATTATAATTGTAAATCTGATTACAGATGTAATTATAAGTTCTACATCTCTTCAAATTTCTAATAAAGCTGCTCAATCTGATTATTATAAGCAAGAATATTCAGAACTGCTGTATACTCAGAGAAGTTATCAATATTATCTGAATTAAGATCTTTGTCAAGCTGTGTATCTTTAATATCTTTAATAATTAATTAATCTGTGACATTCTTCTTCTCAGACAGTGTGTTAACAGCTTCTTGATTAATACTAATATCAGAGTATTCAGAATAATTGTAATGAAGAAAGATAAGTTAAGTAATAATAGTGTTCTTACAGACAGTGAAATCATGATAGAATTGATAACTGAGATGAGAGTCAGTATTTGTATTTAACAGCTGTAAAAGCACAAGATCAAGATCTTTGAGCAGCAGTGATAGAGTATTATAGACTTAATCAGTGTTCTGTAAAAAGTTAATAACATAGCTCTTGTATTTATACTGCTATTCACAAACCTGGTAAATCTCTATAAATACATGAACACAGACAATGAGCATCTCTTTAATCTGTGAAAGAGAAGACAGATTAAAAACATTATCTGAGTCTAGATTATTATCTACTGAGAAGAAAAATGACTTATCTGACTTCAGATTTTTATCAAGATGATAACAGTGAGTGCAGATATAGCATTTCAAATGCAGATTAAATTACATATAATTACAGTGACTGCAAGTCTCCAGTGTATGATCTGTGAGTGATTAATGAAACTTCTGAATATAATCTCAATCATGTGTTATTAATACTAGATCTTGAAGTACAGTAGAACTGCTTATATTCATTAATAAATCTGCAGCAGTCTTCTCAGCAGTAAGAATCTGAACTGCAGATAATGTTGAAAATTCAGAGATACTTAATTGTGAATACAGTATATTATTGAATAACACACTCATTTAACTGTCTGAACTAAGATAGCTGTGCTTGAGTTTGCTGACTGAACTTGTAGATTCTGCAAACTCTCATTCTGAACTGAGTGAAGATCTGATTGAATAAGAATGAGAGAAGAAGTTGAATTACTATGATAATGAAGAGAGCTGTTGCAGGCCTGAGTAATTAAAAGATGACTGAGAATCATATTCTTGTTACTGTCTTCTAATCACATGTAAAACTGCTAACAGAAGTGTAGAGAATGACTTCTCATTATTAGACTAACTGTGTGACTGTGTCTGAGATCAGAATCAGATTTTTTGATAGTCTTATTATTAATTCGACTGATTTCATTACACAGTTTTAACATTAGATAGTAGTCTCATACTGTCTCAGTGAGACTTACTGTCTACTCTTATCATATTTTTCAAATGAAATCATGATTTTCACTTCTCAATTTAAATTATTTTTATTACTTTAAATGACTTTAAATCTCATTTAAGTGTTATCAAAAAGTGTTACTTTTTAAAAAATTAAAAATAGTCTAAAAAAAACCTTAAAATGTCTAAAAATAGTAACTTTATGCTAAGAATGAGACTAAATGAGATCAAATGAGATCACTTTCTTATTTTTTTCAAGTCATGATTTCATTTTAAGATCTGATATATAGTCACTTTACATGTTTTTTTAATAGCCAGTTCCAGCAGGATTCACATCATGAAATGTATGAAATCAGATCAAATGAGATCAAACGTGAAATTCATGATCTCAGCAGTCAGTCTACTCATTGTAATATCTAGTCACTTAATTAGCTTATTGAATGATATTTTATTCATAATATATATCTGCAAGAGAAGAAGGATCTGAACTGTGTATTTTATAATAATGAAATTCAGAAGATGAAGAATATTGACTGTAAGCTTAACAGTAAATAGATGATCTTGTTAACTGTAAATATCATGAGAAGAGTATAAGAAGGAATGAAAGTTGTAATTTCTCTGTAGAAGATACAGATGATCTCACAGAATTACTGTTTTCTTCTAAAGATAAAGCTGAAGATTCAGATGACTTTAAGACTAGTTGAATTTGCAGTGTTTGCAGTGATTCTATAGAAGTCTTAGAGACAGATTATGAGAATTCTGTAGAGAGTTAAGCTGCACTACTGAAGTGTTTTCAAGCTCTGATACTTACACAGTGATCATGACAAGCTCTGCATGTTGTAAAAGAGATGTTTGATAAGTGATTAGATGTAAATTACTTAAAAGTCAAAGAATGATGATATTCAGAGCAGGTCTTGTTTCTTATAATAAATTATGAATCACAGATATATTATTGCAGAGAAGCTATAGAAGATTGAAAAACTATAATAGATTAAAAATATAAAAGAATCTGCTATAGAATGTAGTTCTGCAGCATAGAGAAGTAGTTTTGAATAGAGATCTTATAGAAGATAAAAATCTTATAAAAGAGAGAGTAAGATCTCTTATTTCAATATGAATAACATATTTAATACATTCAACATGTTCAATACAGGTAACATGATATTATATTATAGAATTATATGAATCCGCAGCTAGACTAACTGCTAAGATTATGAATTTCATATTTAATTTCATTTAATCTGATCTCATACATTTCTTGATATGAATTCTGCTGAGACTAGTTATTAAAAAAACATGTAAAGTGACTATATATCAGATCTTAAAATGAAATCATGACTTGAAAAAAATGAGAAAGTGATCTCATTTAATTTCATTTAGTCTTATTCTTAATATGAAGTTACTATTTTTAGACATTTTAAGGTTTTTTTTAGACTATTTTTAATTTTTTAAAAAGTAACACTTTTTAATAACACTTAAATAAGATTTAAAGTCATTTAAAGCAATAAAAATAATTTAAATTAAGAAGTGAAAATCATGATTTCATTTGAAAAATGTGATAAGAGTAGATAGTAAGTCTCACTGAGACAGTATAAGACTACTATCTAATGTTAAAACTGTGTAATGAGATCAGTTGAATTGATAATGAAACTATTAAAAAATCTGATTCTGGTCTCAGACACAGTCACACGGTCAGTCTATTCGCAGCCACATTTATACAGAATATGAGAAAAAGAAGAACATTTGCAGTCAAATCTTGAACTGTAAGAACTGTATGAGTCTGTAGCTGTGTTCACATGAAAGAAATTAGAAGATTTATAAACATTTTCAGTCAATTCTTTGACTGTAAGAACTGTATGAGCCTGTAGCTGTATTTATATGAAAGAAAGCAGAAGATTTGCAGAACTGTATATTCATAGAGAGTAGACTGACTGTGTGACTATATCTGAGACCAGAATCAGATTTTTTAATAGTCTTATTATCAATTCAACTGATCTCATTACACAGTTTTAACATTAGATAGTAGTCTTATACTATCTCAGTGAAACTTACTATCTACTTTTATTACATTTTTTAAATAAGATTATAATTTTCACTTCTCAATTTAAATTATTTTTATTACTTTAAATGACTTTAAATCTCATTTAAGCATTATTAAAAAGTGTTACTTTTTAAAAAATTAAAAATAGTCTAAAAAAAACCTTAAAATGTCTAAAAATAGTAACTTTATACTAAGAATGAGACTAAATGAGATCAAATGAAATCACTTTCTTATTTTTTTCAAGTCATGATTTCATTTTAAGATCTGATATATAGTCATTTTACATGTTTTTTTGATAGTCAGTCCCAGCGGGATTCATGCCAAGAAATGTATGGAATCAGACCAAATGGAACCAAACATGAAATTCATGGTCCCGGCGGCCAGTCTAATAGAGAGTGTGAGTTATAAATAAAGAAGAACTGAATCTTTGCAGAGAGAGATAGATTATGTCGCACTTCTATATGAAAGAGTGTTTTATTGTATTGCAGTGGCAGCAATTGCAGTAATTGAAGCTGTAATTGCCTGCTTAATGAGTGGTGACTATCTATACAGGCCATTGCGGCTTTCTATACAGGCTGTTGCGGCTTCCTCTACAGGCGGTCACATGGGGTGTGCATTTTTTCAACCAATCATATCACAGAATGGGGCCTGCAAGATCGCACCTTCTATCCTAATCAGGTTTTTAAAGCACCTAACATATTGCTTCGCTTCGCTCCGCAAAAAATCATTTCGCGCGGATTTTATGGAGAGCTCCTTTGCTTTGTGAAGAGTAGTACTGGATACATCAAAAGTAGCCTCAGACCCTAGAATAAATAACAGTGGGCAGATGAAGGAATCAGTGATTTGTGAACCTCTCTCGCCTGTTGAACTGTGAACCGCCGCGTAACAATACAAGTAGGCTTCCTGGTCATTTATATGAATTATTAAATATATTACTTCTACACACGCTCTCACTCTATTATTCAAAATATTTTAATAGAAAACATTGTTTTTTTCAAAGTAGAAAACATAAGTGGGATATATAATTAAAAAAAAACATTCTATATTCTCAGTTTTCTGTTCAAAATGTCATTTTTGAATCATTCAGAATCTGTATGAATTGACATCTATAAAAATCTTAATGATCCATCCCGCAGTATTTTGGTTAACAGAGCCCTATAATTTCAGGGAGCCTAACGAAAATATAGGGGTAACCACAGCAGTCTGACATCCTCCATAGATACGAAGGAATCTCATATCGGTAATAAGCCACCGGAGATAAATGATGTATCTATCATGAGCGAAGTATGTTTGTATTAACAATATTACAAAGGTGCTCATTCATCCTCGGTGGGACGGATGTTTGCAGTGTTTGCATTATTACATCATTTTCACCAAAAAAAAAGGGTGCAATGAACAACATCGAGGAGGGGATGAGCGAAAACACAAAAATTAATAATATAACCTTCTCCCCTAGATTCAGCCCTTCCAGTTACCATGGTCCGCATAGAGCAGCTCCCCGATGACTTCGATGAATCCCTTGATCTCAACAAACCTCGCTCTACTGGCCCTACACTAGGCGGGCAGGCTTTGTTGAACGAAACACCGTTCGGGATCAAGAAAAATGTCTCTTCTCCACCTGACTCAACAACCCCTGCCATGCCTCCCGGCATGGCTTCGGTCAAGTCGCATACAGCAGAAGAAATACTCGACTTGATGAACAAGACTCCGCTGTTTATGACCGATCTTTCGAAAGCAACAGATGGAGGTATGTGTGTCCTGTGACTCCTCAAAGCCTCGTACCCCCCGTTTTCGCAAAGTTTTCATTTAACTCTCCTTTGTCGCAGATGAGGAAAATATTGGCCTTGAGGCCATACGGGCTTTGCAATATGAAGGGACACGGGCGGAAGTGGCGCAGGGGCTTCGAGAATCAGGAAACGAGGTTACGAGAGAGAAGAAATGGAGCGATGGGAAAGAATTTTATACCAAGGCGATTGCGGTGCTTACGGGTGAGAATAAATGGGAGAAGAGTGATGATCCTGAGGGCGATCTTGTAAAGGAACGCGAGATTGCGGAAGCATGCTATTCGAATCGCGCATTGTGTAATTTGGAATTAAGTAAGAAAGTGTTGAAGTACTTCAAACCGTGGCTTTTGTCCGGATGGCTAATGACATGAAAAACAGAAAACTACAGATCAACCACGCTCGACTGTGCATCAGCGCTAAAACTCAACCCGAAGAATGTCAAGGCCTACTACCGATCTACCTGCGCTCTTTTCGCCCTGGACAAAATCCCCGAAGCAGAAGATACATGCGCGCGAGGACTGACCCTCGACCCATCCAATAAATCATTACAATCCATGTCCGCCAAAATATCTGCGCGCAAATCTGTCCTTGAGGAAATTGCCGCCAAGCGGCGTGCCGAGGAGGAACGAGCTCGCAAAGAGAAACTAATCCTCAACACGGCACTACGCGCGCGCGAAATTAAAATCCGGACTTCCGACCGCCCGCCCGAGCTTGAAGATGCTGCTATACATCTCTCACCAGATCCGCTGTCACCCAAAAGCACCCTCGTCTTTCCCAGCGTCTTCCTATATCCAATGGACGCACAGTCTGATTTCGTCAAAGCCTTTGCTGAAACCGAGACGATTGGCGATCACCTCAGTTATATATTCCCCTTGCCGTGGGATTCGCGGCAGGAATACAAACTTGATTCTGTGGACTGCTTTATGGAGACGGCGGCCGGGGGGCTTATTAAGGTTGGGAAGAAAATTCCGTTGCTGAAGATTTTGGCGGGCGGGAAAGTGGAAGTTGTTGATTCGTTGGTTAACATTAATATCGTGCCGACGGGCAAGTCGAAGCAGTGGATTGAAGAGATGAAGGCGAGGAAGGGAGCTTGATCTTGAGTTTTATATGTGGTTTCCGTACGGCGCTCATTTCTGTTATTGCGCGCGGATACGGAGTCAGACTAAATATTGAGCCCAGTGTTTCTTTGTAAGTGGTTTCGGCCGCTTTTTGTTGCATGTTAACCGGTTAGGAAAGAAAAGTCATTTCCTTGACCTCCCGGCCGCCATCAAATCGATACACAATAATGGTTTTGCATGAAAGAAATGAGAAAGTTCTCACACAGGCCACAATCAGCAGGATGAATCATAAGACGCAGGAACTTACTATTATCCCCGATATGAGCGTCTGATCCCTAATGACTTGGCGATATTCATTCGGGATAAGAGGCTTGACGCAGCCATCATTGGCAATCTAACTGTGCAGATTCGCTGGACACCTGTTAGGCGCCGGTGTTACATGTATCTCATTGGGTCCAAACTAATGATATTGGGCAATATTGCAAACCTCATCGATGGTCAGGAGGATAGGGATCTAACAGTCGGACCTGTTTGCTTCGCCTCAATGGACAAAATAGCAGACGCGTAATTCCACCTGGACCACAGGTTGAAGCAAAAGAGCATATTGTCAGTATTTTTGAATCAACTGCAGGATATTGTAAAGAAGAAGATCGATACAGCAACACGGAATGTTTTATCCCATGTAGAATCTCATCAATTCGGGATGTAACCATCATTGGGCTTCGCAACGCCAGCAGGAAAATCCGGGGAAGGTTATATGTATTAAAGCAATATGAGGCTTTGAAGTTAGTCAGTTGACATGGTATCATCCTTTTTTTGAGCTTTCCGGACATATGAAAAGCAGCAGAGATTGCAAAATCGCAAATGGATAGAAGCATCCAGGCTGAGGTGGACTTCATGAGGACGCCATTGGACTAATGACGATGACGGTATTCATCATCAGAGATCGCGAAGCGAATTTCCAACAAGGCTTAGTAGGATTTCTGATCTAGGTGGTGATCGCTCAAGAGTTAAAGACCGACATCAAGCCCATGGCTGTCACCGTGGCTTCTATATTATATACAGAGGCGTGCTTTTCCAGCCTATTCTCCTACACAAAGCGACTCATGAAGCAAACAGATGAACAGACACCAGGCTCTTTCTCTGGCAATCACACATTCTCCCCATCCAACCCACGCTCCCTCCTCATCCCCGAGCCAGTCAGAGTCGGGATGAAGGGATCTCCCCAGGCCCTAGGGTGCATGGATATCCACTACTGCGACCCAAGTGTAACGGCGGCGTCAGTGGGGAAGGATATTCCAGTGCCACCGACAGGGAACAGCTCCATAATAACTATCCGAACGGACAAATGAGAGCACCAAACCACCGTCAGTCATGCATGGCAATTTGGTAAACTGACGGATGGACGCCGTGATTTGTGCTGCCTGCGGGATTTGACGTCAAGCTGATGATGCTGAGGATGGAGTTGAAGATACCGCGAGAGCAAAGGTGTGTAAGGGCGTGACAGTCGTACAATACGACTAGTCCTAAAAGCAAGGCGCCAGACTGGTTAATCAGCATTCTCAGCCAATGATACCTCGCTGTAGACGAATCTGGTCACGGGACCATAATATAACGCAGGAAGCAGTAATGCCCATACGGCCGGCAGAGAATTTCCTCACCGCATCTCTCCAGAGAGCCGCAACACAACGCAAGTCGCAACGCAACCTCAGACTCATCCTCAACGCCCGAGCAGCATCTCAATCCGCCCACAAACCCACTCTCGCCTTTTTTCCCGATTCCCCCATCGTCAGCGTCACCATTGGAGCTGCCTGCCGGCGCTATCTCCCACGCCGCGCCCGTAATATCCCTTCCCCTCCCCTACTAATAAGCTTGGAACCCAAACGCGAGTCACCAGAACAACACGTAAAGAAACAGTCCTTTCTGAGCCCATTTGCCAGGCAGTGGGCAGATAAAAGACGCCTTTCACGGACACCCCTACGCCTTTCGTTTTGCTCCGTGACTTCGTGGTACTTGGCAGTTTCTGAGTATTTTTCCTTGATCCCCCTCCTTTTGCGGTTGTTGATCAGTGGCTGCCTGGCATTTTTGCTACTGTTCTGATCCCGAAGATTATTATTATTATTATTATTATTTCCGGCATTATTTATTCTCGCTATAATTATTTCCCGCCCCGAAAAATAGGAAAACCTGCACGGCTAATAATAATAATAATGAATAACCAACCCCATTCTTCCTATCCGACACTTCAGCAACATCCAATGGTTGCGATCTCTCCCGCAGGCTACCCGATGCAACATCTTCCCCAGGCTCAGGCTCAGGCACAAGCTCAAGCTCAAGCTCAAGCGCAGGCGCATGCGCAGGCTCAGGCTCAGGCGCATCTTCAGGCTCAGGTTCAGGCACAAGCACAGGCTCAAGCGCGTGCTCAGGGTCTGCCCTACTATCCGAATCCCAATCAGTTTCCTCCCCAATCGAGAGCGCCACAGATCCACCACCAACCTGTACAGCATGGTGGTGGCTACGGACCCGTTCCACTGCATGCTGGTACGTCAGCCATGATGATGTCTCCCGGCCTTCCCCATCATTCGTCCGGTCTTAGTCCCAGTAGGTCTTCCGCCCTCCCTTCTTTTCGTCTGTTTTCTACTTGATCTTATTTCCTTAGCTCCTATTTTGTGTTTTGAATCCCCGCCACTCCTGTTCCGTTGTGCTATGTATTACACCGTTGGCCAATCAAATTCTTGCATTTCGTGGTCAATGACCTTCCCTAATCCCCTGCTATCTCTCGCTCCCAATCTTCGTTCCTACATAAACCTAGTCTTGGCGTGCATGAGACTTGGTCGAACCATGTAATCTTCTTTGTGGTGGAATCAGCCCGCTGACTGACTGGCGTCTTTTCTGTCATTTTTTCCAGTGCCTCACCCGTCAAATTTCTCTAATCCTCAGTTTATGCAATCAATTCCAGCTACCGTGGCTCAGTCCCCCATCCCTCAATCGCCCTCGCCACAGAATATGGTCACCCTATCGCAAAGTCAACCACAAACAATGACTACCATTGCCGCATCAAATCCTCTTTTTTCCACCCCTCCCCGTCCCTCCCAGACTCCAAACTATCAACCACAGCAACAACAGCAGCAACAGCAACAACTCCAACAACAGACACACTCCCCAGTCGCCGCGCTCTCCCCCCAGCAGGCTGCCCGTGAGAGGGCCCGTGTGACCGTTCTTCTCGATATCAATTCAGCGCTGTTACAGGAAGTGGTGAATCTCCAAGCCTCAGGGAAGGCAGGTGTAACCCCCACCCAGCTCGCTGCCCAACAATCTTCACCCGTCAAGGAGGGCAGTACAGCCTCTCCGACTTCCCCTACCGACATCACGGGCTCGCAATCGCAGAACCCTGGCACTGGTGCAGAGGGGTCCAAACCTACGTCTGGACCCGCCAACAAGCCCAGCATTGAATATATCGACTGCATGCGACGTCTCCAGGCGAACTTGGCTTACCTTGCTACTGTTGCAGATCGGGCAAAGAAATCAGGGGCTGCGGCCCCACAGGCACCCGCAATCATGACGCCACCACCAAGCCTTCCCGGTGTTGCGGACTTATATACCAAGCTGAATGAACTCTTTCCCGGGGCGACCAAACCAGGTGGCGGACCTCCATCTACCCCTCAACATCAGCAACATCACCAGCAACGACAGTCTTCAGTGCCCCAACCTTCACCACAAGGAAATGGTGCGCCAGTTCGTAACTCGCCGGCGGGAACGGTGGGTTGAGTGGACGCGCAAAGAATGTAAAGATATGGTTTGTCTACTTTTTTTTTATCTACTTCCCCGTTGGGATTTTTCTGAAGGGCTATTCGGAGCTTGCCACAAAGCAATGTCAAAACGTCGCGAGTTCCTCGGGTTGCAAGACGCACGGGCCACGAAAGTGCAACCTGACCGCACGGACGATGCTGTAACTCGGCATCACAATGTTTGGGCGTAGCGGAAGCCCTTGAGAGAAAGGATCCACGCATGCACGAAATAGGCGTTTGGATTGCCGCAGCCTCCTCACGAGGAGCATGGGGGGGATGTGTTTAGAAAGATGTATATTTTCAAACAACAGGCGCCTCACTTGAACAGTCTAGGGTGCCTCCCGCCCGACCGCTGAAATGGGAAAAAGGACAGGTTCCACAAACTCCATTTTGTTTTGTTCGTTCGACATCTCGAAAGCGCGTCGTACGTTTGCGAATACAAGGTGTGAGGAAGGGCGGTATGTATGTGTTTGGAGGTAATTGAGGGAGGGGCATGGAAACGGATATGCTCGCGCAGATGATGGGGATAGTAACGCGCTCCTGATTTATTCTGGTAACCGTTCTACGCGACGGAAGTAAAGGGGGATCACTAGAATATATATATTATTATATGTACCCTGTTATATCATTTTTTATTTTCTACTTCTAGTAACCACGACGAGATATCTATGCGCCTGTCTGGCCTGTCCCTTTCACTTGTTTTAATTTCTTCCATGGTATAGTAGTCGGGGCACTTTGCTGGCAATAGATCAAATGAAAAAAAATACTCAACAATGCTCTGGCTTCTCATGTATTTTAAATACCCGGTGCTACCACCAGCCACAGCCGGCGATATTACAATAATAATACTGCATACACGTACTGTCACGGCAAGCCAAACAAGCCAAACATTTCTTGGTCTTTTCTGCCGCGACAAAAAAGTGAAGGAAAACAAAGGAGTTAACAAGGGACAACAAATAATAAATGGACAATCCAACAACGCCATCAACCCTCTGCGATTGAAAGATAGATACACCTCTCTCATTACCCCCGGACACTGTACAACCTGTTAGATATCCCGCATCCATTAGCTTGGACCCTGTGGATGAATCTTCGTTGTGGGCTCCTTAAAACCCGCTAGTCGCTGTTGCTCGGCTGCCTTCTGGGGTTCTTCCATTGAGCTTTAGCCACAGCCTTTGTCAAAACCTCCGCTTGATTAGTCCAGACAGAGAATACGGCTTGACGACCTGTTCTCAGCCTCGTTATCTTCTCTTCTCTTCTGTTTTATTTTCCTTTTATTTATTTATTTATTTTTTTTCCGTTCCCAATTTACTACTTGTGCGCCTTCTCTTGCAGTGCGCTGTATCTAATCCCCGTGGCGGAATTTTCTCCCGCTCTCCACCACACATTATCTGCCTACTACCTCACATATTAGTTAAATCACTAAGAGTCAAAATCGAAAATTCAACTCTCAAAAAGCGAAAATAGAAAACAGCCAGCCGCAGCACCGCGCTCGCCGATCCCTTTCCTATTCTCCTCTCCATCCCCCCCCTCCCCCGTCTTCACGCCATGGAAATGAGCTCCAAGCGCAAGCACAGCAGTGGGCCTATCTCCCTCCGTTCCGCAAAACACCTCCGCCCAGACACCTCCTCCCCGCAGCCATTGAGCCCAGACGAACAAACACTCGGCGAAGAGGCCGTCTACGTCCTCGAAAATGAAGACGAAGATATTTCCCACATGCTTCCCCTCGCCCCACCCGCCGCTGCGCAGACAGACTCGCCAGAATGGCAGGCCACCATCGAAACGGTCGTGAAGAGCGTCGTCTCGATCCATTTCTGTCAGACGGCGTCGTTTGATACGGATTTGTCGATGTCGAGTCAGGCGACGGGGTTTGTGGTTGATGCGCAGAGAGGGTATATTTTGACGAATCGACATGTGGTTTGCGCAGGGCCGTTTTGGGGGTATTGTATTTTTGATAATCATGAAGAGGTTTGTTTTTCTTTTTTTATTTTTATTTTTAATGATTTTTGGTTTTATACCCTTGCAGGTGGAACATTTTTACTGATCTTGCTCCGTTTCTATGCTAGTGTGATGTCCGACCTGTTTATCGAGATCCTGTTCACGATTTTGGTATTTTGAAATTCGACCCCACCGCCATTAAATACATGCCCGTCACGGAATTGAAATTGTCGCCGGACGCAGCAAAAGTTGGTGTCGAAATTAGAGTCGTGGGCAATGACGCCGGTGAGAAATTGAGTATTCTTTCTGGAGTTATAAGTCGTCTGGACCGCAATGCTCCCGAATACGGCGAAGGGTATAGCGATTTCAACACAAACTATATCCAGGCTGCTGCTGCGGCTAGTGGTGGAAGTTCCGGAAGTCCTGTCGTGAACATAGATGGTCATGCGATTGCGCTACAGGCTGGCGGACGTGCCGATGGCGCCGCTACGGATTACTTCCTACCCCTCGATCGTCCACTGAGAGCCCTGGAGTGCATACGCAAAGGCGTGCCGGTCACGCGGGGCACAATCCAGACCCAGTGGATCATCAAGCCGTTTGATGAGTGCCGCCGCCTTGGTCTATCTCCCGAATGGGAGGCTGCTGTCCGAAAAGGCGCCCCAAAAGAAACCGGTATGCTTGTTGCGGAAATCGTGCTCCCTGAAGGCCCTGGCGACGGCAAGCTACAGGAAGGGGACGTGTTGATCAAGGTCAACGGGGAGCTCCTGACACAGTTTGTAAAGCTGGATGCGATTTTGGATGCCAGTGTGGGTAAGGATGTCCACCTTCTTGTGCAGCGCGGTGGTGAGGATAGGGAAGTCTCATGTACAGTTGGAGATCTCCATGAAATCACCCCTGCTCGCTATATTACCGTTGCTGGTGCGACGTTCCATGACCTCTCCTACCAACAGGCCAGACTTTATGCGATCGCCTGTAAGGGGGTGTATGTTTGCGAAGCTGCGGGTTCGTTCAAACTTGAAAATACCTTTTCTGGATGGATAGTAGATACGGTGGATAAACGACCTACGAAAAATTTGAATGAATTTATTGAAGTTCTGAAAACCATTCCAGGTAAGTTCTACTGTCATTATCGAAATTATTAATTTTGTTTGCTAATTATGAATAATGGATCAGATCGCGCGCGAGTTGCTTTGTCATATAGGCATATTCGAGATTTACATACCAGAGGAACATGCATAGTGCACATAGACCGCCACTGGCATCCACATATGAGGGAAGCAGTCCGCAATGACGAGACTGGACTATGGGATTTCACGAACATTGCAGATCCACTTCCCGCGGAAACCCCAGTTCCTCGGAAAGCCGATTTCATCCAACTTGACGGTGCCAACCATCCAGCAGCTGCAGATATCGTTCGCAGTTTCGTCCGCGTCTCTTGCACAATGCCAGTGAAGCTTGATGGGTATCCACAAGCCCGCAAAGCCGGATTTGGCCTCGTCGTCGATGCGGAGAAAGGTCTCGTGCTTGTTTCCAGAGCTATTGTGCCTTTTGATCTTTGTGATATCAACGTAACCGTAGCGGACTCTATTATCGTCATTGCCAAAGTGGTTTTCCTCCATCCATTACAGAATTACACGATTATCCAATATGACCCTAGTCTCGTGCAGGCGCCGGTCAAGACAGCGCGGCTGAGCACTACCTACATCAAGCAAGGCGCCGATACCATATTTGTCGGCTTTAATCAGAATTTCCGCATCGTCGTGGCCAAGACGGCCGTTACTGATATCACTACGGTCGCCATACCCCCCAACGCTTCTGCGCCGCGCTACCGTGCTCTCAACCTTGACGCCATCACCGTTGACACCGGCCTGAGTAGCCAATGCTCCAATGGCGTCCTGATCGGCGAGGACGGCATCGTCCAAGCACTCTGGCTCAACTACCTGGGCGAGCGCACCGCCAGCTCTCACAAAGACGTAGAGTACCATCTAGGTCTCGCTACCCCTTCTCTCCTCCCCATCATTAACCAGATCCAAAATGGCACCCTACCCAAACTTCGAATCATGGATATGGAGTCCTACGTTATCCAAATGAGCCAGGCGCGCATCATGGGCGTGTCAGAAGAATGGATCGAGAAGGTCGCCATCGCCAACCCGGCACGCCATGAGCTATTCATGGTGCGGAAAGTTGACTGTGCCTCCCCATTAAAGGAGGACACCCAGCAGCTTGAGGAGGGTGATATCATCCTCACACTAAACGACAAGCTCATTACTCGCGTCTCGGAATTTGATATAATGTACCACCACGAAACCCTCGACGCGCTTATTGTCCGCAATGGCCAGGAAATGCGTATTAAGATCAAGACTGTCCCGACAGAAGATCTGGAAACGGACCGTGCGTTGATCTTCTGTGGTGCTGTGCTGCAGAAGCCGCATCATGCCGTTCGACAGCAGATTTCGAAGCTACATAGCGAGGTCTATGTCAGCGCGAGGGTGCGTAAATTTCTATTTCATATGATAAAGAGAGCTAAAATAAAACATGTATGGGTATGCTAAATGATTGCGTACGCTATAACAGAGTCGCGGCTCCCCGGCCTATCAATACGGCCTCTCACCAACAAACTTCATCACGGCCGTCAACGGCGTCAAAACCCCAGATCTCGACTCGTTCATTGAGCAGGTCAACACCATCCCCAATAATACCTATTTCCGCCTCCGCGCTGTTACATTTGATAACGTCCCCTGGGTCGTCACCATGAAGAAAAATGATCATTACGTATGTTTCCTCCCTCAGCCCCCCTCCCCCTAAAAAAAAAAAAAAAAAAAAAAATTCATTCCTTTTCTGTCGCTTATTAGGAGTATTTATTTATTAACGACAACCTGCACAGTTCCCCATGTCCGAGTACGTGAAAGATCCCTCCGCTGCTGAGGGCTGGCGGACCATCTCTCACGATAAAGAACGGCGTCGCTCGGACTCGGATAACGTCAACGCGGACGCGATGGATGAAGGGCGCGATGAGGGGATGAGTGATGTGGAGCCTGATGGTGATGAGTAGTAGGATAAAGTGTTCATGAGATAATAGAGTGTTTGCCTTTTCTTTTCCCCTCATTGTTTTTCACTTGTTCCAGAACATGGATTCGTTCGACTCTATTTTTCTAATTGTACTCCTGGAATGATATGGTTTTTTTATGGCAATAATAGAGTGGTACTACTGCACATGAGCGTGGCTCTTCATTTCATCTTCTGTTGGTGCTTGAGTGAGATATTGTTTTCAGTTTTCTGGGGTATTTGGCATGTGGTATCCAAGTAGCGGGGGTCTCTATTTATGTACTGTACCTTGCTGTTAATGGTACCTCATTTCTTATGAGCTAGAATAGAGGGTTTTTATATTTTCTTATCCCCATGTTTAAGATTACGTAGTCTTTTCTTCATCCTATGGCGTTTCAAAAATTGGGTATTAATACAATTTAACCAAGAAAAAAAGCCTTCTATTGAGTTATCCTTACATTTTACCAATATATAATCAGCATCGAGTGGCAGGGCATGATAATTAGCTCACTGCATATTCCCGAAAAGTGCGTCTGGACAGAAAGAATGTCCCTGACGAAAAACCAACATGACCAACCACGTTCATCAAAAGAATTCGAACAGCTCATTAGGTGTCTCAATGGATCCCCTTGAGCTTAAAAAAGCCGACTTTGAGAAAATAGAATAGAGTCCTCCTCATCAATATACCTGTACATACAGTAATATTAGTCGCATCCCTGGGAATGGAGGGGGCAAAGCATTGGATTTTCTGTCCTTACTTGGGAAACTCACTGATTAAGCAGGGCAGCAATTTCATGCTCGTTGCACTCAACAGCTGCCTTCCAGGAAGAGTCCAACGCATGTAGCTCCACATCGGTGTCAGATACCCATTTAAGTATGACTCGCACAACTTCTGTGCTACCGCGCCTGGTCGCCAACTCTAATATATTGTCAGGACCTCGTCGACCTGCCGAACTGTTAATATCCGCGCCGTTATCAAGAAGGAGCCGGACGACGTCGGGGTGGTTGTGAACTGCGGCCTCTTGTATTGGACAACCGAACTTGCCGACCGTTATATTGACGTGGGCTCCATGTGCCAGTAATACCCATACGGCGTTTTCATGACCCTTGGATGAGGCCGCATGCAGAGCGCTGCCGTAATATCCCCCCTCCGCATTAATAAATGCCCCATTGTCAATCAACATTTTGATGATCTCAACGTGACCCCTTGAAGCAGCTGCCTGAAGTGCAGTTCCGTACCTTCCCCCGGGAGTGTTAACGTCGACTCCACCGGCGATAAGGGATTTTACCACACATTGAACACCTCCAAGAGATGCTGCTTGAAGCACGTTGCCGTACAGACCGCCTTCCCAACGAGAGTTGGCCCCCTTGCTGAGCAATAACCGTGCGATGGATTCATGGCCTGCCGCCAATGAGGATTGTAGTGGAGTATCGCCTACCCAATCCACTGCGTCGATGGTGGCGCCATTCTGTACCAGCGTTTCTACGATACGAAGGTGGCCCTTGGAGGCTGCAGCGTTGAGCGCGTTACCGTACGTGCCACCTTTGGTGTCTGGGTTGGCACCCTTCAAAAGCAGCTGGGTGCAAATATGGAGATAGCCCTTTATAGACGCAGCCAGTAGAGGGCTCTTGTAAATTCCACTTTGAATGTTGATATCCGCGCCATTTTCAAGCAGCAGGTCCACGACTTCGTCGTGGCCGCATGTACAGGCATCTTGGAGCACTGTCCCATATATTTCGTGGTGCGTATTAGGGTCTTGGCCCTTCTGAAGCAGTAGCTTCACTAAATCGGCATGTCCCCTCGTGACGGCATCCTGTAGCAGAGAGCCAGAAGCACTGATATCGGCTCCCTTTTCAAGGAGCAATTGCACAGTTTCAGTATGACCTCCAATCGTGGCAAGCCGTAGAGCGTTGCTGGATCCATCCTTCATGAGATTAAAATCAGCTCCCTTGGCAAGGAGCTGTCTCGTAACCTCGACATGACCCATAGTACATGCAGCCTGCAGTGGGGTACCATAATGTCCTTGATACGCGTCAGGATTAATCCCCTCTGCAAGTAAGATCTCAGTCAGATCGGCTACACCAATTAGTGCCATGTAGTACAACGGAGCGCGTATGGTTTTTCGTGACTTTGTGTGGTTTGGATCTTTTGTAGGGTGTTCCGGGTCGTAGAGTCGAATCCAATTACGGTATGCAAGGCTATTCGATGACAGGAGCCTCATAGCCAAAATCCGGATTCTCTTTGTAATGCTTTTCGCTGCTCGTACGTGATGCACCCAGTACCTAGAGGCGTACCTGGCAAGTGGAAAACGGGTTTCCATTCCATCCTCAACAACAGTGTCATGGAAATAGTGCAACAGATATGCAAGGCAAATCTCTGCCATTTCCGCATTGGCGGACGATTCAGAAATGTGGTACTGAGAACCAGGTTCAGTAGAAGTAGACAGGTTGTCTGACACAATGAACTCCCTGACCGAAAGATGAGCCAACTTGAAAACTTCGCCACGACCTTGTTCAACGTCGACTCTCACAAGCGGGGAGCATATATCTAAAATTTCTCGAGGATCGAAGAATCTTCTTCTGGTATCAAATTGAAGATAAGCATTGAGGTCGATCGTAAGCATCTCAGCCATTTCAGCGATCGTCAGTGGGCGGGCAGAGAAGGCCAACCAGTGCAATACTTGAGGAATGTAATTTATCCGTCCTCCAAAGGGATCACGGAGAATCCTTTCGTACATATCATTCAATGACTTAGGTGGTGATCCAAGGGCTGCACGAAGTGCTTCCTCGCTAAAGCAATCCCCCAGCACCTCAAGCTGACAAAAAGCCCACTGAAACCTAGCGATTAGTTAGAAAATTAAAATAAATAGACAGAATAGGGGAAGCCCGTAGGCAAGTGGCAATTCTTAAAAGGGGCTAAAGTCTTACATGCCATCAGCTTTGCTCATCGTGTAAGTTTCGATATCTTTCAGAATACCGGGATATTTCTCCCATCTCTTAAATTTGCTGTCTGTCCTGAGACATTCCTGGACATACATGCAAATATCACGATTTACCTGCGTTTTATCCATAGCGACTTTTTGTACGTTTCCAGGCAATGAATTAACTCCGTCCTCAATATATTTTCCCTGTCGGCTCGTGGATAGGATGTGGACTTTGGAAGACGAGCGACGTAGAATATCCCGAATAATGCGTAGTAACTCGGGAACGTTGGAGCATACGTCAAGGGCATCAATTACAATGAAACTTTCTTCGAAGCTTTCAATGATCTCGAGGAGCGTAGCAAGAAGGTCGCTTGCTTCCAGTTCGAAATTTGGCATACAAGACATGTCATAAATACGTTCCAATCGAGGAATATCGCGACATTTATAACAGAACTGCTCGATAAGCGACCGCATCATTCTCTCAGGCGCCATCTTATCCGGGTCGCTGAAGTCGAAGTAAAAATATGCGAGAGCTGAAAGAGGCCTGGGTAAGCATTCCTGGGCCATATGTTCGATGACCGCAGAGCTCATCACCGTCTTGCCGCTTCCGATAATCCCATGCAGCCAGCAAAATGATGGTGCACGACTTTTCCACTCGTCGAAATAATCGCTCTCTATAAACCATGATGCCGTGTTGGGATGCCTCTTGCGCCTTGCTCTGCGATAGTTGAGTGATGGATCCACCGCAGCGAGCCGTCGGTTGATCCTCCGTTGGAGGTTTTCTAATTTCAAGGATTAGCAGACGTCGTGGATAGGATTAGATATTGCTACGCTCTGCCGCGCTGCGCACCTAACTTGGATTTATTTGCAGATTGCATCGTATTGTTCATTTTGAGTAGCATAGATCTAGAAGTTTTATTTTCAAGGGGGAAAAAAATGTTAGTTTTGCTACACCGTAGGCTCTAGACAAAGGGGTAAGAGAACTCACGTTTGGTCGACCTGTACTGCCTGGAGAAGACTCTCCGTATGCTTTCTGATATTCAGAATAATTTGGTCTGCTTCCTTTTTCTTCAACGGCCACCGTAATTGCTGAACAACTCTTCTAGTTTTCGAGGCATCCTGCAAACTCAGGCGGGAGTTCAGACTTTCCAACTCTTTCTGGCACAAGTCGAAAACTCCGTTATACCACGGAGCCTTTAACATCGGCAGCACGCTCCCCGTCGCTGCTTCATCCTTGTCTGCTTCTTGCTCTAACAATGCCAATCGTTCCAGGACGGCCTGGAGATCTCCTATCTCCTGGTCTATTCTTGATGCTTCTACCTCTGAGGCATTGTAGGACCTAACCGCGCTAATGGCCGTAGTAGTCGCTTTTAACAATGTGATGAGGGCTGCAGCGAAACCCACAAATTCCATGACGAATGTATTGTATTGTTCAACACTCTCGAAGCATTCCCCAATCCACTTCAACGTGAAAATATCACTGACGATATGCGATGGTTGCTGCTAACATGAATTATTAGGTTTATGAATTTCAAATCCTATTGTGATCTGTCGTGTTGGAGTTTATATGAGCAACTCCTGATAGGAACGGTTGAGGCAACGAGAGCGATCCAAGAACGGATAGGGATATAAGAGGCGCAGTTGACCCATGCCCTCCCCGATTCAACTCCGATATGGTCTACCATCGTGGCGGGCATTGAATGGTCAACATACTTCAGGCTGATAAACGTCCTGGACATGATTCTGGGAGCCAATTGGGAGTGCGGGGACCGAATGTAATTATCACGCATTGGAAGACAAGCAGGAGGGGGAGAGGGAGGGGGGAGGGGGGAAGGGGGAAGGGGGGAAGGGGGGAAGGGGAACAAGGCTGCCGGGCATTGATTTTGTCTGGGCACATTCTGCTGTGGTCAGGATGCAGAATAAACAAATTACTCGACATATATTCGCTCTAATTCCTCATTCCCTCGGATGCCTTGAACCCAAAAAAGACGCGTGCACGATCGATGTTCCCCCCACAGACTGGTCCACCGACGCTCAACTCCATTACCCTCGTTTGAGTTCGAAGGCAGCGGGATGTGTCACTACGCTGTGGCAGTTTTTTCCTGCGGCCATCAAGGACAGCAGTATCTTCGTATATGCAATGAAGGGACATTGTTGGTAGAGAGGAGTTCACCTCGACAATGCCCGGCGGACAAACTCCCAAAGGAGACAAAAAGAGATTTCCAGGGCCATGTTTGTCCCGACTGCTCTGCTAAGCTATCTCGAGCATCCACACCATCTTCTGTCGACGAGGTTTGTTCCCAGCCTCCTAAGTAAGCAGCGTTCGTGAAGTTGGGCTGATTAGCATTTGATTCATCCAGTCAGAGGCCGAGCTTCAACGTGGCTCTGAACGGCGCCGAGGAGGAAAAGCCCAAACCTGACAACCCCGGCCTGCTGACAAGAGATGCGGAAACAAGAACGATAACTACTCAATCCCTGTTGTTGTTTGTTGCCAAATGGTCCTCCTTGTCTCAACGGACGAAAATGTCAATTCGTTGGGGTTCACATGTTTTTCCTATTATTGCGCGAGGGGTTTT